CGGGGTCAAAACCAACCTCCGAGCCATTATCCGTGGGATGTATGCTCTGGCAAGGCTTGAGTCCAGCTTCAAGCCTGCCTCCACTGCTAACACTTTCAATACCTTAACGACACACTCCGTGTCCGACTTCGGCTGGCCAGCCCCCGTGCCCACATGGCACCTGCAAATGGGTACCCGCCCGTTGCCGCAGACGTATCACGACGGGGGTCACCAATTGTCATTACCGACACCCGATCCCCGGGATCTCTGCCACCCAACCTCTGCCGTTGGGTACCATCAGCAGACACAGGCTTCAATGTGAAGGATGTTGCAAATGGCGTTTATTGCACAGCTGCAATTGCTTATATAGCACAAGCCACACCCACAAGGCCCCTCATGGGCAGTCTGAGCTTTCCGTTACATCGCGAGATCTTCTGTACGCCGATCCCTGCTTAGGGTGGGCTCTGCTCACCACAACAGGAGATATCAAATATTTCTACTGTGCTAGCTTAACTAAGCATATACCTTGACTGTAAAAATATGTTAAGAAAACCCCACAACATTTTAATGAGAAATAAATTATTTTACTATAGGAGTGAAAAGCACAGTGAAGGATCAGCCATTAGTTTTCCATAATAAAATTAAATCATCAGGTTATACAGCAGCACCACGGTGAGTTGATATTTTGTCTGTTTTATGGTGTGTGATATTTTGTTACATAATGGAGCCATGTAATTTCATATCTATGAAATTAATAATCTGTGGAAAACAGATACAATGTTATTAAGCAATATAATTTTAAAACTATGTCGTAATACAAAATTTTCATAGCTTCTGTTCAGTTTTCAACTTCCTTTTAAAATTTATATTAGGAATTCTTTTTCATATGATTAAACTCCCACCTCTTCAGCTTGAAGAAATGTCTGAGAAATTTATATGAATGGATTCTGTCCTTGAGAATGCATTATCCAACAAATAACTTGCAGAAAAAAACAACTTAGATGCAAACTTGAGCATTAGATCTTTATAAAGTTATTGTGTCATCAATATGTACATTCTTACCTACTGACAATAACAGTAGACATAAGTAATAATAAGAAAGTAGGATCGTTTTTTGTTTGAAATAAATTCTTTCATGCAACATTTAATGTTTCATATAGGACAGTCTGTGTTCTTTCTTGTAGAATGACCATGTTTTCTCCAAATAATAACTCGAAGAAAAATGAGGTAACAAAGTGGAAGACCAGCTGTAAATGGTAGGTGATCTAGCAATTCCATTAGAAGAGAAACAATTTAAAATGAGGATAAATACAGTTCTAGGGGAAATATGATTTGTTGCTGATTCTCTTCTTGGAACTTTTTAGTCAAGGGTATCACTGGAACTGAAAGGCTCTGTAAATTTGCTATGAAATGATTGCAGCAAGTGATCCAGATTATCAGACTGTCAATTTGGAGTAAGTCTTACATATAGAAGAAAATATGTATTCCTTAGATGGTCTTAGATATTTTTTTTAGATGATTTTTTTATTTTATTTTACTAGAAAGATGAATATGTGCTAAATATGTTTGGATGTATAAACCCAACATGTACTTAAGCTGCAGTTCTAGTCAGAAAAATAACTGAATGTGGCACAGTGTGACTTCATAATTTCAGGTCATGTGCCTCATTCAGCCCTAAAATAATGTTATCTCAAGGTAATGCAAGCTTACTCTCATTGATTTAAGCAGAGTGTACAACAGAGTATAACTTGACCAGTGGACTCATCATCACTAGACACAAAGAACTAATATTTTTTTTTTTAGAGCTGACATTTTCATATTATCTGGTGTGGCATGTTAAACAGGGATATTACACACATTTTTTTTCTCTTTAGTATTATATAGTCTTTATTCTATGTAGTACAAACGTAAAAGAATGATTAATGCCGTCACTTTTATCTTTTTAAAAATAGTTTCTTAAACAGTAGCTCAAGATTAAATATTTTTTAATCCTTGCACACAGAGGCAAACCTTTAAATGAGCACTTCAGATAATTTCAGGATTGGTTTGTACTATTTTATGATAGGTTAAGCTACTCAGAACTTTAAGTTTTGTTTGTGTTTTTTCGTATCTTGTTAAATAGATGATCAGTGTAATTCATATTTTTACATATGGAGATATTTTTTCATATTGCTTATGATCACAACAAAGTAGAGGTTGCATTCATTAAATAGTTTTGTTAAATAGGAATGCAACTTAATGTCAATTTAAAATTTATTCTACCTCTTTATCTTGGATTTAATATACATTTTCCAGGAAGTTTTTATATAAAGATATTTAGGATAGCTCTCAAAGCACATTTATTTCATAATTGAAATGAAAATGTACTGAGCTTAGATAACTTAATATTTTTCCTCTCTTTCTCTTTTTTCCTTCTTTGAAGTACAAATAAAGAATATCCATTGGGAAGTGATCCTCCAACCAAATATGAAAAAGAGATATCTGTTACTTGTAAACCAACTGCAATTTGTTGCATTCAGTATTCTGGTATGTACAGGTTTTATAAAATGTACAGCTGTGTCTGTGGGCAGAAAGAACAAGATCTGTGACATGTTTTATTAAAACCATGTCTGTACTAGGTAAATTCCAAGAAAATATTCTGACAATACCATACACTGTTTGATCATTATATTTTAACTTGCAAAACTATGCAAGCTGCTAACATGTGTGCAAAAGGATTCCAATTCTCTGATTTTACATTCTTTTGCCTTTTAGACTTATTCTATGACTTTCCCACTACAAATGGGAAATTAGTAATCTAACAAGTTCTTTCACTAAGGAATTTATTTTCTGAGGTATTTACTTAGGGTCATTAAAGTATGTTAAAAACTGAAGTTCTTTTTCAAAAGAATCAGAATACTTCTATTTCTTGTGTTAAGATTATTCAGTTTTTATATATTAAAATTAAAAAAAATTCTTCCGTACAATCCAAAAAGGATATTTTCTTAACTGCTTTGGAGAAGTGATTTTTGCAATAGGTTTAGTAATTTCCAATTCATATAATTATGTTTATACAGGAACTACTTCTTATATTAGCAAATGTATTATCAAATATATAATTATGTCAATGTACAGTTTGCAAATCACAATATTGTCAAAGTATTTAAAAATGTATCTTTATAAATATTGAGGACAAGAGGTACTTCCATCAAGAAATAAAAGCAATTGGATGTAATCAGTAATTTTTCTAACCTGTATTCCAGACATCTCTCTGTTCCCTAGAGAATGGAAAGAAATTTTTATGGTTCGTGAAAAAAACTGGATGAAGTGAGCTTCTTTCTATGAATCTTATATGTGCTTAAAAGGAAAAGCTATTTTTTAGCAAAGAAAAGCATTGCTATAGTTTCAATAACACATTTTAAGTATAAATCCTCTTTTACTTACTCTGAAGAAGGAACATCTTTCTCTCTCTTTGTCTTACACACATATGCACACATTAGCTTAAACAGCTGCAGTTTATCGAAACAAGGTTTAGCAAAAATTGCTTTTTTCCTTTAATAAAAAAAATCATGTAATTGCAAGCTTGTAAAGAGGTATTCTGTTATTGTTGTAGTCTGTGTTGGCTAGATGATTCCTAGCTTTACAATATATTTTCTGCTGCAAATTTTCAGCTTGGAATTACAGCTGGGAACAAACTTTCAAGTGATCTGTGAAATATGAATTAAAATAATTAATATGTATGTGCATCTGTTAACATAGTACAAAGAAAATTAAATAGAAAAATTAGGAGGTTGTAAAATTGCATTGAATGAGTTAATGCAAACCTTCTTAGACTTATTAAACTTTCATTTGTAGTATTGGAGGTGTTAACGAGTTATCCCTTGTTGCTCTGTTAGAAAACAGTTTTATTCAGGCTTTGAGATGATGATCCATTAAACAAGCCTCAAATTCTATGCAAAATTATTTTCTTTCACAAAAATGTTTATATATTGTTAATCCTCTGTGTGTCTTACCTTATGTCACTTACCTGATATACTTACCAATCAGCTTTCATGCTGAATATCCATACTGGCAAGACTTCAGGAAAAGTGGGGGAAATCTGCAGAACAGTATTTTTAGCTCAAACACTTCATACCTTGGAGTGCACAGGGCATGCATTTTTTTAAATACTTTGTCAAGGGCTACTTATTTTTGTGATGAAGATATTTAAAACATTATTTAGTATGTGCAATCAATAGTACTTGAAGAAAAAGTCAACTGAAATATTGCTTGGTAAACAAAAGAAAAAATACTGAACAAAGAACTACTTTATAAAAAGTATACTGGTACATTTAATAACTGATAACAGAAAAAAAGACTCTGGAATGCTTCTCTTTAGCCTACACATCTGCCCCATTGTAAGTCTCACTTCAAATTCATTTTTTGTAGATGACTCTCAGAGATTCGAAATATGATTCTCTTATCTATTGCCATAATGAGGGAAAAAGCATATTCTGAACCTGCAATGTGGGTGGTATTTCTCCTGGTTTAGCTTGGATAGGGTTAATATTGAGCAGGAGTTGGGAGGTCCACAACCAGGATTGACTTCTGAACCAACCCATAGGTTAGGTCGGTTCTTCGATACCATGTTGACGTTGTGCCCATGACATGAGGGCTGGGCCAGAGTGGCAACATGTTATGCAGCTCAATGTGGTCTGTGCTTTCTATCACTTGTTCTATATATTGTTTCACTACTGTTATCATTGTTATTGTTTATTGATCCTTTCGCATTCTATTACATTTTTCTTATCTCAACCTATGGGTTTTTTTCTCTTTTCTCCTTCCCCTTCATGAGGTGGGAGGAGCAGTGAGCAAGCAGCCACATGATACTCCGCTGCTGGCCACAATATATTTGGACAGTGGATAGCAGTGCATAATGTTAGTGAAATAAAGCATGACTTTTATTCCTTCTCCCTTTATAAAGACGCTCTGGAGATTTATGAAGACGGTGTTCAGGTGGTACCTCTTAAAAAGTTCTTTTTCAGTGAACCTGTAGCATTGATTTGAATTTTGTGCATAATTTTCTTACTTCTGTCACTGATATCCTCTCTTGCTCAATCCTCCCTTATTTTTTCCCCGTGTTTATTTATCTGTTTATTTATCATGTTTATTTATCAGCTCTTTATTAATGTCCTTTTTTCAGGAAAAACTTTTGAGCAAACAATTAAATTTCATAAATCACTGCTATTATGTAGATATTCAGAGAGTCTATCCTGTCATTGTGTGCCTGCCACTGATTACAAATATAAAATTTATCATCTTTAAGAAGCAATCCAGAATGACTAATATGTGCTTTTTATTCTAATAAATAGGAAAAGGTGATATAACTTTAATAAGAAGATATAAAGATATGAGTGTAAGGAAATAGATATAAAAAACTGCTAAAAATTTTTGTACATAATTTTTTGTTGCACTTGTTTTTTTGTGAAAATGTAATTTCTGCCTTGCAATGAATAATTTCTTTGAAAATGTGTCAGAACGTGAACTAAATTGCATACAAATTCCTACCAAATTCTGCAACCTGAGTTTGTGACGTTCATACAAAATGTGTTAAACGTGTGAAATGAATATCTGGTTTGTGTTTTGTTGTAGTAATGTGATGTTTATGAAAAGAAACAGTGTATTAGGCCCCTGTTTTCAGACATAAATCATTAGGCCCTTTTCTTTATAGGGGATGGAGAGATGCTGGCTTGCGGCTTGGCTGACAAAAGTGTACTAATATTTGATTCCAATCTCACAGATACATGTAATGTTTTTTCAGGTAAATTTATTAATTACTTTATTAAAGAAATAGTCTAAGATTGATTTTAAACCTAAAATGGCATAGTAATTAAGAGATTCCACCTACATCACCTTGAGAAATACGAGTGAGAGGGGATAGTGCTGGTTCAAGATATAGAAGTTATTTCTTTAATTGTTTAATTTTGTTATAGAATTGAACTGCCTACCAGGTTATCTCATTTCTCATTTTTTTGGGGAGGTAAATAGTACACTCCCATGATAGGTCTGCATTGTGTATGTATATTACAATAATTAAATAGAAATAATAAAGACAATATATTGTAATGATAATGGACATGCATGTTGCAGTTGTATATTGTAATACATTAGCCAAAAAAAATTGACTGTAATGACATGGCAAAAAAAAGTTTGTTTTGCAGCTCCAGGCTTCTGAAGAACTGTTTTTTAAAAAAAGGGACTATTCATATGGGGAAATCCAAACCTGCAAAGTATATGCACATGAAAACACATGTGCATTACTTAACATAGTAAATGAGCCTAAAAAAAGTTGTATTTTTCTACAAGAACTATCTATTAAACTTTTAATAGCAGTAATTGCTATGTATTTGAATTAGTCCTGCTAAATTAATTTTCTATGGAATTTAATAGGGGAATATGACTGTCATTTACTCGCAGACCTTAACAAGTATAAAAATAGACTATTTTAAATTATTTTAGAGAATTATTTCTAATTATATTCTAATTATTTAGAAAATTCTAAACAAATAACTCTGATAACTGATTTTGAAAAAGAGTAATTTTCCTTTTGTTTAGTGGAAGAAGCTGTGGCATTGTGACAACTAACGGAGGCAACATTACTGATATTTTTCTTTTTGTGAGGAAATTTGTGAAAATGTGCCCTGTGGGCAGGGTAGAAAGGTCTTGTTTTTCCACAAGAGCATGTTCATAAACTTTAAAATTTTTTTCTTCATGTATCACTGACTAATTTAAGCAATTTCATAGTGCAAGTAAAATAAAATGCAGCTAGGAATAGTGTTTTGAGGTTTTATTGACCTAATTTTGTTATTTAGGTAGTACTGGATCAAAACCAATAATTTTGTTCAAAGTTACCCCATATATATGGGATATACTTCACTTTTTAGAAGATTAGGATTTCAAAAAAATTTAATCAATTAATCTTCAATTAATCAAAATTCTGTATTTCCTTCCCTTATTTGTTATGAACAGCTATAAAAAAAATAGTACTACTGCTATAATATTTATAATATACTTTTTGTTATTTATTGTGTATCTTTCTGAAGTAATCTGAAGAAACTAAGGTATAAACAATTTTCAAGAACTTTAAAGTCTTTTTTGGTAGCAGGGTTAGTCTGAACAAGAAGTAGAACATAAGCATTGCAAAATTATTTCACAGGGCTGTAAATTATCATTGCAGAGTATGTGTTCTGTAACTGTTTTTTGTAGTTTCTTTTGCATCACACATCCAGCATTTCTTTATGTGAGCTACTCTCCAAAAGTTAGGCTGATTTTACTTGAATGTATATAGAGATTGTGCTGTAGAAAATGACATTTCAATTCTGTGAAACTTTTCCCACCCCAAACCCCACCACTCCCCCCAAGTTTGTTTTTATGTGGGCTTCATTGATTTTTGGACTGGTAATAGCTGGATTTCGTCTTTATTTCATCTCAATGAAAGATACTGATTCCACTGCCTTTGTTGCATGTGTACCTCCATATACTTGCTATATTCTAAATAGCATCTAAGAAATGTTTCAGATAACAGAAAATACAGACTTTAATAAGAAATACTAGTCATCCAAGTAGACATATTTGAAAGCAGAAAAAAAAATTAGACTTTAGAGATTTCTAAATTAGAAAGAAAACCTTAGATCGTATTACTCTAAGTCATGAAGTACTTAAGCTTTGATACATTGTTAATAAAAGGCTTTGTCTTTCTATGATGTAAAATTAAGTATCATGTTTTTATAAGACATTTCAACATTCCGAGTTCCCTAAAATACTGCAGTACTTTGCAAATGCAGGCTGATTTATTGTCATGAGAAGAGTAAAGTGACCTGCACTAAACTTCATGCCACTACTTCTTCTCATGCCATTAGTTAACGTGTGAAGTACTAGTTCTTCATCTGGCTTTAAAATTTTGATTTATTACTAAATTGTTCTGCAGACAGTTGACTTTTTTCTATTTGTTTTCTTACATTTTGCACTGCTATCTAATTTATTTCATTGACATCTTTCATTGTTTATCCTATGTCTTTTTTTTATGGTGCACAGTCTGGCAAGATGTGTAAACCACATTCTACTTCAGGGTCTCTAGGTAGCATAAGAATGCAACTTGTGCATGTAGTTCTTTTCAAAAGCAACAAATTTGAAACTGTCAGATACTCTATTGTAAGGGAGTAGGAACTGCAAACCACCAGTTACATGCTTAACTCGTTCATGTAGCTCTTCTGTACAGTTCAGATTATCTTGAAATCACCTATTTTCTACTTTAGATGACTTTGGTTCTGAAGTATCATAATAGATGTATATTCTTTTAATCACAAACCATGAGGCATTGCTCATATTCAGAGCAGTCAATGGTAATGTAAAACTTTCCTTGTTCTTTAAATGACAATATTGATTCTGTTTAAAAAAATTTCAAGGCAGCACTAGTATCTGAATATAGATGATTATTGAAAATAATATTTTTGTAATGCACAATCGGAGAGGAGCGGCACAGCAACAGTAATTTTGCCATAAGCCTAATTTATTGTTTTGTTCCCTGAAACACTCAATCAGAGTTTTAAGTAGTTCTGCATTCCTCTTCAGTGTTGGCTCTTCAGGTATCTGTGTCCTGTAGTGAAGTGCAGGTAACGTTGACCAGCTTTAAACCAGTTACAGTCAGCATGGCCTTTTTGAAGTCTCTTTACAAGACCATCTGCTGTCCTTGTCAATGTGCTTCAGGACTTGGGAAACCTTAGTAACACCTGTTTTGAAGCTTGCCTCTTGCAAGCCAGCTGGCATCTCCTTTACTGTGCCTTGAGACTGGGGGCCTGGAGTGCAGAGATTCTTAAGCGTTTTGGTGACTCTTTCAAGTTTCCAAACCTCAGATTTTCCTAAGGTTTCTCATGTTCCTTACCACTTTGGAAAACTGTTTTGTATAGTTGGTTTTGTTTTGTTTAATGCAGATAATTCAAGACTTCCAAATGGTTTTACAAAACCAAAGCCTCTGAAGAAATCTTTGTCTTGAGAATAAGTAACACAATCACCTATGTACTTACCCAGTACCTGTACAGTTTTCTGGTGAAAATTCTACAGGTCTTTGGTAACTTGGAATTAAAATATCTTGTTTATAAGCCTTTTTCTAGATATATGTTATCATAGAATATCTTAATTGTTGAGATAAGTGAATTAGCCTTCCTGCAATCAATATTTTTTTTTATATATAAAAGTTCAGTTGACTAAAAAGAAAATGTGCACAAGAGGGCAGCATAAGAACTTTGAATATTTTAAGGTTAGCTAAAATTCATCAGACTTCATCTGGATAGACTAGAATAACATGTCCAAAGTTTGTTAAATTTGTTTGATGTGTTTTCTTCTTTGCTGACCTTTTTTAATCAGTGTCAATATATTTTTCAATCAAATTAATAATTCTAGGTTCTGGATGATGTTACTGACTTTTGAAGCTCTTTCTTGAAGATTTCTAATCTTGTTTTTAACTGTGTGACACCAAAACTGGAAAAGTGTTTCTTGTAGCAGTTTTTTGCTATTAATTAGAGATTATAATAATCTAAACAATGATTTTTAAATAAGCAGCTACATGGGTTTTTTTTAATTAATGAGACAATCCTGCAGTAGTTGCAATGGCATGTTTACTGTTTTTTTACAAAAACAGCTATCTCAGTAATAAAAGCATAATAAATGAGCTGAACTATTGAACTATTCTCAAGGTCCTAAGAAGTTTCCAGATAATGCTTAATATAAAATTTCATTATAATAGAAGCATAGAATTGTTTAGGTTGGAAAAAACTTTTAAGATCATGAAGTCCAACCATTCACCTAACTCTACTAAGTCCACTGCTAAACTGTGTCCCTCAACATCATATCTACCTGACTTTCAAACACGTCTAGGCATGGTTCAATCACTTCCATGTGTACTTAGATTCTGAATACTCAGATACTTTTTTGAGTAATACTATTTCTTTGCTTGAGTTGAATTTCAAGGATATTTTTTGAAAATGCTCTTCCAATAACTTTGAAAAATTAGTCAGTATTATCGCTCTGGTTGTTAATGACATTTTCCCGTGATTTTTGGTTGAATTAAAAATCAATAAGTGCTTTACTCCAACTAAGTTTTAATCCAACAACTTGAAGCCTGTATTTAAAATATATTTTAATGTTGTGTATAATTATATTTAAAAAATAGATTAACTCTGGAAAAATGTGTAAATGCAAGAGCTTTATGATATTTCTATTACTGTTTTTATTAGGTCATGATGGTGCAGTTAACTCTGTTGGCTGGAGTCATGACAAGAAGTGGTTAGTTTCTGCGTCAGAAGACAGAACTTTAAGAGTCTGGTCAGTCTGCAATAATGACCCTGCCCTAATTCTGGTAATTAGAAACTTCTGTCAACTTGGTTCACAGAGGACACTGTTTTGCACTTTCATCTACTTCCATTTTAACAACTCTGTAGAAGGAATATGCAGCCTGATTTTTCAGAGCTACAGAGTGGTGGTGATTCCAACTAATGCTATGATCTGGATAATTTCCATTGACTTCAAAGTAGGCTTTTATCATGGTACTTTATGAAATTAAAAAGAAACCAACCTTGACAGACAAAACTAGTGGGCATGTCTGGAAGTTTTGGTTTTATTGTCTGCTCTCTATATCTAGTTTCATTGGCTCAGCTCTGCTTGACTTTATAGTCTACTGTCCAATTCAAATGGAAGTTTAGAGTACGAAGCTGGATTGCATTAGATTCAATTGACTACAAATATTACTAACTTTACTGCCAACTAGTTTAAGTAGAATGAAAACTTTACTTTGAGATCAATAGGTGTGAAAAATAGGAATGACCACTACATAGTAGGTTAACCTCCTGGCATAGGATAAGGACAACAGGCAGGCTATGCCTTAAGACCAGGAATATCAGATAAAAATGTTAATCGTCTTAGAATTCATTTTTTTGTATAATTTTCTTTGCGTTTCAGGGCAAAGAAAAGTTCCCTAAGACTGTACGCTTTGCGCAGTTTTATTTTATAGATACGTTTATATTGCTGTGTTGTGGAGCTGAATTTCATCTATTAAGTCTCCATCTAGATACAACCAAGGATGACCTCAAGCGGTGAGTACAATTTCTCATTAACAGACTGGTGAAAGTACTTTTACTGTTTGATTTGGGATTTTGTGGGTGGTAAGGTGGGCTGTGAGGCAAGAATATTACAGAAGAAAAAAAAAAAAGAAATGGTAAAAGCTAATAATAAAAAATCTTTATTCTGGTATAATAGAAACAAAATTGAAATGTTAACTAATTTTTTTATAGAGCATACCTTAACTGCTGTAAATACTGTTTTACTATTACTGCTACTATTTGGGACCTTTGGAGCTTTGTCTACCTGCTTACATCTCAGTGTGCATTAATGTCTTAAGTTTGTTTGAGTAGGTATTGCAAATCTTTCTCTTGTGGGAATATTCTGTATGCTTTTTCTTTTGAAGATTCCAAAAGGATGCAACTGTTTTCTTCCTTCACTATCAAATGGAAGTAAATAACTTTCATAATTTTCATTGGCTTTCCAGCTGTTATATTGTATCTAATTATTTTTCCTATTATCCTATTTTGCCTCTCTGTTTATTCATTGTTGGGTATCCTTCATGTACTTTTTACTAATACTATTCTATTTATTATTATGAGGTTCCTTTCTGGCTTGGAATCAGTTCTTTTACTAAGTATCTGATATACCTTTTATGTTCTTTTAGTTTATAATTGGAGCTAAAACTGTCCTTGTGTTCTTATACTAAGTTTCTCTGCTCTTCACTTGCTTTTGCTAGTTTTCAGCAGTATTTGTGTATATGAGATTTTACTACATTCAGATATACATACACACATGCATATATGTGTGTATATGTATGTGTATTGGGTCTGGCTGAGCTGATTTTCCCACTGCAGCCTTCCTGGTGCAGTGCCTTTGTGCTGAGAGTTAGAAGGGTGTTGGTAACACCCATATTGTGACTGCCACTGAGCAGGGCTCGCACAACACCTTTCTAACATTCCCCCCACGATGGAATGGGGGGACAGGAGCCTGGGGGGAACATAACAAGGACAGCTGACCTGAACTGACCAAAGGGATGTTCCACACCATATGGTGTCAGCTCAACTGTACAGCTGGTGCAAAGGTGAGTGGGGGGAGCTATTCCTCGGTCCTCTGGAATAACTGCTACGTATTTTGGAGCCCTGCTTCTCAGGAAAGGCCAGACATCGCCTGCTGATGGCAAGTAGAGAATAAGTCTCTGTTTTGGATTTTTTTTTTCTTTGCTTCCGTGCATGGCATTGCTTGGCTTTTGCTCTCTAATTAAACTGCCCTTGTTTTAACCCACAAGGCTTTTGTCTCAATCTTATTTTCCCTCCTCCTTTTGCTCTGTGGAGGAAGGAGAGGAGAGGGGGAGGGTGATAGAGTGGCTTGGTAGGCATCACTTGCTCAGCCAGGGTCAACACACCACAGTCCTTTTTTTGTGCCCAACGTGGGGCAATTACAATGGCAGTTTTCTATTATAGCTATAGTAGTTGCTAGGCTGCAAACCTCTGTGCTGGTTGTGGGTTTGTTGACTGTGGCTTATCTCTATTTTGCTAAGTTTTGGAACATGCTAATGCAAATAATGGCTTTCTGTTATGTCCTGCCTGTGATTATTTTGTTGGGTAAGTTATCTTGTGGAGAAGATGAGGGAATACATCTCTCTCTCCCTACTAGGGATTGATGTGAGCAGCTTTATTGCTCAGGCTCCTAAGGTGAACCTTACGTGTGAGCTGTTCAATACTAGCAATTAACATTGCTGGCCTATTACGGTTTGCATGGGGCTTGATCTTGTCTTGGGGTAAAAGAAAACAACTTTTGTGCAGGACAACACCAAATTGTGCTCTGAAGTGGCCCATCCTGGATGGCAGGGTATATGGATGGATTTGGGCAGGTTTCTAGGGTGATTATCGCCTCCTGTAGCCTGGAACTTTACACCTGAACAGGAAAACGATCCTGTCAAATTGACCCAACACCTAATAGAAGGGTCTCTTATCTGCCCTGATGAAAACCAACAGCTTCTACCACTGTACTGGGGTCTGGCCTGTGCCTACTGAGCCGCAGTTCAGTACTCTCAGGAGACTGGGGTAGAGGCAGGGACTCAAACTATCCAAACAACATCAGCAGCTACTATACTTGCCCCAGCAGTGAAAAAGAAGCAATGGACGAGAAGAACAACAGGCCCATATGCATAATTAACAAGGGAAAGGGATGGAGAGAGAGAGGAGGGAGAGTTTGGTCAGGAACCAGGACCCTCAACACAGAGAATTGAGGGTGCTGTAACAGAACTGAAACAAGAGGCAGAAACTACCCAGACCTCCTCAGAAACTATCCTGACCTCCTCAGAACTTTCAGACCTGAGGAAAGATTCCAGCTGCCAGCCAGGGGAGCAGATTGTTACCTGGCTGCTGCAATGCTGGGATAACTGGGCTGATATGCAGGGGCTGGAAGGTAAGGAAGCCCAACAGCTGGGCTCCCTTGCTAGGAATTGGGGAATTGAGAGAGGAGTCAGAAAAGAGGCAGCAATTCACAGTCTCTGGAGACAGCTCCTGTTGAGTATGAAAGCTAGATACACATTCAAGGAAGACCTCATGAGCTCAGCATCCTTGGGAAAGTGGTATACTGCAGATGAAGGTATCAAGTACCTGAGAGAATTGGCAGTATTGGAAGTCATCTATGGGGATTTAGATGATAATAAGCATCTCAAAGATTCAGAAGATTTCCAATGTATATGGGCTATGTGGAGAAAGGTGATCAAAAAGGTGTCAAAAATGTGCCAGCGTCATACTCCACCAGCTTGACAGCAATGTATTATCCAGAAATGGACACCCCAGCTGTGGAGACAGCAGCATCTTTGTGGCTCCAGAATGTCAAAGAGAGCCTTCGTACCTCCACATCCCTGAAGGCTAGTGCCCTGGATGTCAGGGACATACCAAGAAATCAATTCTCTCCTGCACCAGTTAGAGGGAAAGGGAACCCAAGGTGCATGCCACGTGGCACACTACTTTTTTTTTCTGCATAACCAGGGAGAAGACATGAGGAAGTGGGATGGTCAACCCACCTTTAAGCTGGAAGCCCGTGTACACGAACTGAGAGGGAAGAGGCCATCCAAGAAGGCTGTCAGTGTAGTCACAGGAGGAACACAAGAATGGAATCGGTGATCTCCTAGACATGAGAAGACTTGAGACTACCTCATCTGGTCCTGATGAAGGGACTTCTGGTCTGGCACTGCAAGGGTCAGACAGTGAATTTTCTGGCCAGGAACAGGAATAAAGGGTCCCTGCCTCTGACCAGGAGGAGGAAAGGGATGACCGTGTGTACTGAACTGTGTGGATTCCATGGCCTGGCACATCGAGCTCACAGAAGTACAAGGCTTTGGTAGACACTAGTGCAGAGTGTACATTGATACCATCAAGTCATAGAGGCACAGAACCCATCTGGATCTCTGGAGTGAGCGGGGGATGCCAGGAACTGTCTGTATGGGAGGGCAAGGTGAGTTTGACTGGGGACAAGTGGGAAAAGCACCCCACTGTGACCGGCCCAGAGGCTTCTTGTACCCTCGGCATAGACTACCTCAAGAGGGGGTGCTTCAAGGACCCAAGGGGGTACCGATGGTCTTTTGGGGTAGCCACTGTGAATACAGAGAAGATAAAACAAGATTTCAGAGCCCTGCTTCCCAGGAAAAGGCCAGACATCTCCTGCTGATGGGAAACAGAGAATAAATGTGGGGTTTTTTTTCTTTGCTTCCGTGCATGGCATTGCTTGGCTTTTGCTCTCTGATTAGACTGCCCTTGGTTTTGCTTATAAGGCTTTTGTCTCCATCTTATTTCCTTTCCATTTTTGCTCTGTGGAGGAAGGAGAGGAAAGGGGGAGGGTGACAAAGTGGCTTGGTGGGTATCACTTACTCAGCCAGGGTCAACCAACCACAATATATTTAGACACCAGTATTTAAAAACAGCTTGAAGAGATATTTTAATTTGATATTAATACTTTGGATTTTGAGTGGAAGGACAAACAGGACTGAGGTTGCAGCTACTAGTTTGATATTGTGAATGGTATGTTCTGTCTGTCAGAAAGAAAACATTCAGTGTGTTCTGAATGTTGAATAGGAGTGCTTTTCTGGTTTGAGGCATGATCCTCGTAGGTAGGTGGAACTTTAAAGAAGCTTTAAATGGTCATACAGAAAACAAAAGGAGGAAAAAATGCCAAACTATGTCAGTCCTTTAAAACATGTTTTTTAAAAAACAGAATTTCCTTCTTATTTGAAAAAGTAGCTAGTGGATTGTGATCTAAGTTCTGTTCAAAATTTCTGAAAAATGGTTAATTGTGCTTTTTCAGTCACCTGTTTAGTTTTACAGTTAATCCACTGTCACTTTTTGTTCTTTACCCTTCATTTCTTGTAAAAATCCTTAATGGAGGGGGGTGTTGTGAATCTTATTATTTTAGTCATATATGCCATTTAGAATGGGCATATAGCAAATAGACTAGAAAACGCAATACAATCTAACACAGAATTCCCTGTTTTGATTTTTTAGGATATATGTTACATTAGGAGAGTAGAACTAATAGAGTGAAACATAAAAAAACCCCTGGAATATAAGCACAAATTATTTTGAAAGTATGTTTTTTCCCCCCTTGACTTTCTTTTCTCATAACTAGTTCTGCAGAGATCTCAAGTTATGAAATGCTTACCTTGTAGTCAAGCCTAATAGTACAGGAAGAACCTGGAAGGCAGGAAAAGTGATTCCTGTTCCCACTTTTGCTTGAAATTTATTCAGTCTAAACAAGTAACATTTGCAAACTGAGGCACATTTCTCTTGTACCATTCTTAACTCTTAAAATTTATACAATCATGGAGGAACTTAGAAAAAGAAGACAGAAAACAATATTCTGATCTTCTAGATCCTTCCCTCTTTTGATTATTTTTCAGTTTTAAGATTTAGCTTAAGATATTTTTTCCTTCTATTTGTGGGGTTTTAGCCTTTAATAAGGAACTTTTATTGTAGTATATAATGTGCTGGCTCTAGCTATCTCCTTTTGTATTTTAACAAATACCCATGTCTCCCAGAGGAAAGTATCCAGTAATCTGAAGAATATCCATACTTCAGTTACGGTTATGTAAGACTCATCTTAACTATCTTTAAGCTAGTTAGTTTAGAAGCTAAAGGTAGTATGGAACTTGATGTAACTGTAGAACCCACTCAAGAAGTTTTGCAAGGACTTGGGCAGTGAACTTCTATTCTGTTCTGTGTTGTTCCAATTGCTTTGTTAGGAGCATATAAGGCCTGGGTTTAAAGCTGTTAATGTATGTAGAGTTGTGCTTATAGCTATATTTTTTTTTTTTATTGCCATGCTCTCAATATTTCTTGATGCTTTAATGCTAACTCAAAAATATGCAGTTAGACTCTTTGGGATATTAGTGTAATGCCAAAATTACAACAAATCCACAAACCTGTCTGAGTATATATATATATAATGTATTGAAGGTTAATGTGCTTTGACATTTTCTTGTGGATCCTCTCCAGATCATTTCTCAGCATTTCTTTCTTTTATGGAACACTGCTTTTTTTTATTTTTTTTTTTTTCCTCACAACTCTCTCATCCTGCCTTGTGAATCAAATTTGAAAGAATGCTTGAATGGAACAGATTCAAGAAGATGCTACATCTGATCCCAAAGCACGCTTTATACCCGTAATTAGAAGAGTGTGGCAATGCAATCTGGCAAATAAAGATTGTTGCTGTATTTCAGAGGTGAAGAGAGTACAGTGACAAAGCATATCACTGTTTCTTTGTGCAGCTTTTTCAAAGAACTCCCCATAAGTGTTAATTAAGCATCACAACAACTTCATTAAATGGTTAAATATTGGTTCAGTTTCAAAGGTGAAACTGAGAAGTGGAAGTAAGAATAAAGAATGTTATTCTCCTTATTGGGCTATTAAAATATATCTGTATTTAAAAATGGCATAGAGGAGATTTGTTGCGTTTCTGGGAATAGCATACAGATCCACTGACTTCTGCTTCTGTGATTAATCTCAAAATGATTCACAATCTAAACAATTTGCTTTACATTCTACAAAATTACTAACTATTAGATTTCCACTCTCATCAGTTCATGCTGATGTTTGTGGTCTGTCACTTAGTTTTGACTTTGTCATGGGCAGCCATTTTCATTAAAGTTTTAAGTGCCAGATCTGCATCAACTTGCATTGGGGTTGTTTTATTTTTTTTGTTTGTTTGTTTTTGTTTTTGTTTTTTTTTAGGCATATTCATCTTCTGGGTTTTGCATAGTAATATACTTCCATACATTGAAGTTTTTTGTCTATCATCAAAATGTTTCTACTTTACCTGAGTCTCGCAAAAAATGTTTTCAGCAAAGGAGTTCAAATTAGCTGGAAAATAAACACATCATTCTCTGCAATCATTGCAGGAAGTGGTTGTATCTTAGAATATGGTTTTATATTTTATTTCTGAAGCTAATACCAGTCTCCTGAAAATAACTATATACTGCAAATTTATTCCCCCAAAATGATTACACCCCCAAAATTATTGGACCCCCAAAGTATGCAGGACAAAAAATATTCCAGAGATTAGTCATTTACGCTGTTGTCGGAATTGTAATGACTGAAAGCATTAAAGGGGGACAGAATTGTAGTTTTGAGTGTATCAACACAGATGTGGTTTTATTTGGATACCTAATATATAGGATTGACAGCTGAGATTGTGCTATGCATAGAATTGGAGACCTGGAAAAACTGTGGTAAGAAGATACTGTTCATCCATTTTTTGCCTCTATCACAAGCTTTTCTGTGGCCTGAGGAGGTGTTGGTTGAATGCAGACATTTTTTAGGGCTCATTTGTGCTACAGTAGCTTCTCTAGCTGACTTATGAGATGGAATTGTGCCTATACTCCACATTCCTGACCTTCATCTGTGCAGCATTTTCTAGGGCTTGTAGTGTTTTGTAATAGCTGAAAACAACCCCTCAACTACCTGTGAGAGTGCATTCATGTTGGCAGCCCTGCAACAAAGGAATTAGCTTTGCTAATGGCAGACCATTAAATTCATCTATGGCAAGTGGCTAGACCTAGGATGGAATTCTTAACATAGTTGTATATAATTTTATTTTCAGAATTTACTTCTGATGGTTATATAAAAATCTTTTTTTCTCTGCTTTTGAAGATTTCTTATTTTTTTTTTTTTACTTACAAAGCAACCCTTGTTATATTGACAGAAATATGTTGATTTTCTGCATACAAAACCAAGTTATTTTGTGAAATGAGCCTTCATACTGATAAATTGTAATATCTTTCAAGAATCTAAAAGCTTTTCCTTTATATGCTCTTCACACCTTTATCTTTGTAAATGTTTAAACAGCTTCTAACCCTTCCTGGACTAATTCCTCTAATTACTTCCTCAGCAAGACCTTTGTGAGATATACAACAATCTTTTCTGATGCAAACAGGAAATTATTTAAATTAAAATGTAGATTGTGTACTTTTGCTTATCTTTCAACCTATGTCCTTTATCTCATGTTCTTACATATTACAAGTGGCATTTAAGCATTTGTCTTGTGTTTGTTTGAATTATGTAATTCTTTTCTTCTGCAATCTGCTCACCTACTTTGTGTTGTCTGTTAATTCTTAGTTTATGGAGGTATTATTAAAGCAATAAAGAGTTAACCCCAATTGTTATATAAACTTTAATCTCTTGGAGACCAGAACTAATGTAGTGTCCAGCTCAGTGTGTCTACAGTGCCTGGCTGAAATTTAGTTGACTTGCACTTTGAATTGAGTGTACATAGGACATGTGGCAAATGCATTTTGTGTCCAAAAAATAGAAGGTCTTAAATATACTAAAATTCCTCCTCTGTTCACTAATGTACTCTTGTTCTATTTCTTTTTTTCCTTTGTTACTTTGGTTCTGTTTTGTCTTAACTTGTATTTGATGAATCTCAGTTTACTCTGCTGGTTGAAGATCTGCTTTCTAGGTGAAATTCTATCTGGGAAACACCCCATGGGGTGTTTATCTATGTAGCAGACTGCACTGTAGAAGACAATACTTCAGCTGGCTTAGAACAATTGTTCTTACATTTGAGAGCAATCTGTTTCAGTAAACTTCTTTCAGCAGAGAAAGTTAGATCAGATGAAGCTTCGTGCTTCCTTCAGTACATTGTTCCTATTATCTCAGTCTGTTTAGTTAAAGTTAGGTTGATTATCTTTACACAAAAATGTATATAAATTAGTTGTTCCTGAAGTCCAGAGCAGTTTATTTTTGTAGTTTGAGTAAAATGCTTCTGGAAACTACAAAAGGTTCTTGGGTTAAATTGCAAAACCCTGTATTTTACCTTCTGCTTCACCATCGCTGCTGAAGTAGCTCTAATGTCTATCTGAAAAAGCTCAGTAGATCATTTGAGAAAGACAACGGCAAAACCAAATCATTTTTGTTTTGAACCAATTGATAAATGATAAATGCATTGCTTTTGTCAAATGATCTCAATTTTTCAAACTTTTAGCATTGTTGGAAAGAAACAGTCATTGTTCCTACAAGCGTGTTGTGCATGGATTTTTGTATTGTTGTTAGGCATGCTAAAATGGAAGTATACTTACACTGGAATTTTTTTACTGCATAGAGGTATCTGCATTTAGAATATTATGTAGGAATGTTGAGCTACTGTGGTGTGTTAACCTTCACTATTTTCTCTCATTTTCTTTTTTTATTGCCTCTGTTTGGCATATTAAATGTTACACAGAAACTAGTGGAATTTCTGCTTTTTGATCATAAGTACTTGGTGAATGTGTTCTTTTCAGCATTCTCAATATACAAAAAGAATTACTTTAGTGTTTCATGTTGGTGGAAGTTATCTTATGTATACAAATCATGTTTCTTCTCATCCAAATGAGTTTTATCACCAAGTTTTTTAGTAGCCTTCCACAATGAGTCAAAATTTTCAATAATTAAAATATTTTGATTTGCTTTGTGATTCTAATGGTAGTTTACTGGTTCATACAAATTATAACCTACTTCATTAATAAGAGCATTGATTTGATATTTTTTTTCAGATACAAACAGAGAAGTGTTTGCAAGTTAGTACAGAAATTTCCTATGGCCTCAACAATGGAAATTACCAGCCTTTCAGCAGTAAATGATTTCTACTCTCGTATCCTTTGTATTTGTTATTTTCTTTATTAAGTTCTTTGGACTTAATGACACTGAAATAACTTCAGTTATACCAATTGCCATTTGATTCTCTGTTACTTTTTCTGTTATGGTAAATGCTGTATTTTTGTGATACCAAACGTCAGATTTGGGTATAGGTATTCTAGTACTGCAAGATTTTTGGTGTTGCTCATATGGCACTAAATACAACAAAGTCTTGATACCTATTTCCTGTCTTTTTGTCTATGTGCTTTGTTCTTTTAGATCAGTTTAACTTTAACACAGAGAACTGTACAGATATTGTGCTTACAGGTGGCAGCAACCGAGCATTGGAAATTTTTGACCTCAATGCAGGCTGCAGCACAGCAGTGATACCAGATGCTCATACTAGATCAGTCCATCAGATCTGCCAAAATAAGGTATATACTTCGTAGAATTTTATTTGTAGTAGTGCTACAACACCACCAATGAAGAAACCGGAGGCTAAAAAATATAACTGATAGTAAACAATAGACTTTTTTATCTGTTGTGGAGAATGAAGAAGGTCATAAGTCTGTGTGAATAAGGCACTTGCATCTTATTTGTTCTTTTGTGGAAAACAGGGAGCAGCAGAATGACTGAAGAAGCTTGTTGTTACAGAAACTGTATGTTACCTTTTGCCTCACTTGCACAAGGC